AAGCTAATAACTACCACCTATCACTGCAAAACTGAAGCATTAAATGATGAGAACTATCACATGTCTGTGTGCTCTTTATTTAGTGAACATAAATCTTTACTTTTTGCCTTTGAAGTGTTCAAACATTGTCACCTCTTGTGTTTATTCCAGAAATTATCTCCCATCTTACTACAAGTTGTAATATGTAATAGTGCCAATAGTGATATTAATGTCAGATCCTTTCAAAAAAAAAAAAAAAAAAAAATCTGATTCGTGCTTTAAAATAATTTGATATTATTATTAAGCACTAACAATTAAAATTTTAAAACATAATTACCTCAACAAAACACTGAGTGAGGGAGAAAGAGAATGGAAAACAAATAACAAATGTCCTTGAAATTAATTTTGTGTAAACTTTGAAAGCTTCCTCTCTGTCTCTCCCTCTCAGCCACCCACCCCTCCATTTCTAAGCACATCCCTGACAATATTGATGTATAACAGCATTCCTCAATTGTGTCCTGACAACCCTTCAATCCACAACTTACTACTAAAAAACCATTATTTTCTAGCAAACATGAAGATGAATGTCCAATGCATGCTGATTCTACAGAAAAAAATAGGGCCAGATGAGGTTTTATTACATTAAGCCGAACTTCAAATGCCATCAGTATAATCGACCAACCTCTTTCTTGCAGACAAGACCCCATATTCACGTTGATCCAACTGAGATTTAATTAGCAAGGAAAAAGACCTGAACACAGTGGGGAATCTGCCCATTGGCTTTTAGTGAGATGAATTTCACTGTCATGAATCAACTACCTGTGCAAAGCGACCCATTATTTACATGTACTCTCTTTCACGGCACCTTCTAATATCTGAAAGTAATATACTACTCTCAAAGTCACTGCACAGTACTTGTAGATAAAACTTATTTATGTAAACATTTTTAACAGATTTTATTGTTTTTCTTAATTTGTTAAACATTAGGATTCTGATAACATATGAAATTTGTCGTAAATGATACTAAGGCAGCACACCTGCATGTTTCACCTATACCCTGGGGTGACAGAGGCTTTCAAAATTGGTGTGTCATTAAAATCAAATTAATGTGTATTGCTGGCTTGGACCACCCACAGGTGAATGTGAGCATGCACGTGTGTATGCCTGTGTGTGTGTGTGTGTGTGTGTGTGCTTCATTGCATGATGAAAACTGTTGAAGTGTGCTCAACACATTACAAAATACGTAAAAACCTTACAAAATTAAACCCCTCCGGATATATTTATGTACCCTCCACCAGGGCCACAGATTGATTTTTCACTAGATATTCACATATGACTTACTCTTCACTTTTTCTCTTCCCTGTCCAGTGAGAATTATTGTATGGAATTTATGTCATCACTCAGATGGCCTCTGGTATAGAGTAGTTGTGTATTCTATGTAGCATCATTATATGGGACGTACTACATCACGAAATTCCTTCTATGAATAGTACTAATATTTAACTAATAGTGAGAAATTTGAAGTTTGATTTAAAAAATCACATTTACATCAGATATACATCTGTCAGAGGCTAGCTGTTGAAAGCATTTACAATATGAATATTGATTAAAAATATCAAAATCATTTTGTGGTTTTGTTTTGACATCAATCACATATACATAAGATAAAAGCATAAAACTGACCTTAGATTTACAATGTTCATCTTAAATTAAGCTAATTTGATTAAACTGCTGTGATATCAATTAAACCTTCTCTGTAACCTTGACAACAATTTTCACAAACAAAAATCAATATGACGATATCCTAGCTTAAGGTATAAGATAAATTACAATAGCTGTAGGAAACTGGAGTTGAACATTATATAGATACTCAGTGCTCACTCAGAAAACATTGCTTACGGAGGTCATCTTATATTGTATTCACATATACCTTTTCACAATAAATTAACCGAGGCTACATATATTTTGAATTATGTATAATCAGAGTTGTCAATAATAAGCATGTGGTCTTCAGATATTTAAGCATTTTTGACAACATATTTTCAGGTGAAGTTTACTGTCAGGCCCGTAGCCAGGGGGGGATCGGGGGTTCGAAAGAACCTCCCCTTTTGCCGGGAAAAGGTCCACTCTGGGTAAAATTTGATCTAGGTACATGAAGTTTTTATGGGAAAAGGTCCACTTTTTCAGAAAAAGAACCCCCCTTTTGAAATTGCTGGCTATGGGCCTGACCGTGTTATTCCATTGTTGATATTGTGATAAAAAATAGATCTGCACTTAGCAAGAGCAAGTGTTTGCAATTTTAAATTTACCATTTCTGACACGCCACCCTTCTCTCAAAAATTTCTGAGATATATTTGATCATATGTATTATACAATATTAGCTTTGATAGTCCCATAATTTTAATGTGACAGTTATATCTGGGTTTATAAACTGTACCAAGATTATAGAAATAGGGACTAGAAAATATGAAGTCTTGATACACAATTTTAGAATCTTTATACTGTGTGCATTAAAAAGTTATTCCAATATCAAATTAGATT